TAGAAAAGAGAGAGAGAGAGAGAGAGAGAGAGAGAGAGAGAGGATGTAACCCATGTTTTCGTGTCGTTCTCCATTTCTATTTAGACTTATGGGTGTCTCATTAACCAGAATCTCTCACTCTCATGTAAACATCGACGCTTAAAACACACACACACACACTTGCATAATATAACACTTGTTAAAAGGTGTAATATGTGTGTGTGTGGAGGAGGCATACAGTGTGTGGGCGTATTATTACTATTTTATGATTATTGTTACTCTTATTATTACTATTATTATTATTAATAGAGTACACTTGTTTGCTTTGCATTAGTCTTTGTTCCTTCCTTTTTTCCATTTTATCTCTTATTTCTCCCCATTTATTCCTTCCATCCCTTTTTTCTCGTTCTCTCCTCTCCACTACCTCTATTCACTTTTCCTCCTTCAGTTCCCCAACTCACCACCAATCACTCCTCTCTTTATTTCTCTTTCCCTCCTCATCTCCCTTTTCTCGCCTTTCCCTATTCACCCAAATCTCCCCCCCCCCTCATAATTTCTACCTTTCCTTCTTCTCTCCTTCCTGATTTCTCCTTTCCCTTCACCGCTGAATTTATCTTTTTCCGCTCGACCTCCAAATCTCTTCGTTTCTTATTGCTCTTCTTCCTAGTCTCTTCCTCCCCTCGTGCGCTCTTCTTCCTAATCTTTCTTTTCTTATGTTGTAGCATCCTCTCCCTGTATTCCTCCTACGTTTCTCTCTTCATCCTCCTCCTCCTTCTCACCCCTACCTTCGCCATGTCCTAGTTCGGTCTCCCTCAAAACCCACCGAAATTGAATCCGAAACCAATTCCGTGAGGTAGCAGAATTTGGGGACAAACTTCGCCCCAGCTTCCCTCTACCATGTAAATAGGTCGCCCTCTCTACCTGCGTCACTGCTGGTGGTGTCTCAGGTACCAAGTGACGGTCGATATCAAAATGTACCAGTGATCCATGGAGGGTCTTTAAAGGGAGTTTGAAACGACAAGTTCTTCTCTGGTGTCTGTAGAAACCAATAACGTCAGGAGATAAAAATTTCTTTGCTACGTCATAAATTTAGTAAAAAATCGCATCAGGTAAACCTGGAAATTGGCAAACGGAGTTAAACCCGCATTACGTAAACCTGAAACCTATCACAAGGAAAGCAATGACTATAATACGTAAAATACTGGCGTTAAATCAGCATTACGTCAACCAAAATTAATCAAAAGTAAAACAAAGATTGGGTATATATATATATATATATATATATATATATATATATATATATATATATATATATATATATAAAATATATATATATATAAAATATATATATATATATATATATATATATATATATATATATATATATATATATATATGCTGAGATAAATCCAGATTACGTAAAACTAAAACTTTTCTAACGTATAACATTAGTTTTTACACATTTCTTTGGTTCTAAACCCGCATTATGTAAAATCTGAAACACGCTTTTTTTTCACTGCAGTGTTGAATCCTGAAGGTGGTGTAGTTAATTTCATTGTTTACTAGATATAAATGATGCATCACCATATACAGTAAGGTTAGACAAGAATTGGGCATACAATACTTCACTACAGACTGTACACAAAGTTGTTACAGACAATCAGTTAGTCAGTCATGCATTAAAATTCTTTAGTCTCCAATTCAATTAAGCCATCAGTCAGTCAATTAATATTTATAATTAGTTTGAAAAAATATATATAACATGAGCAGAATCGCTGAGTATTTAATATATGGTTGACAAAAAAATAGATCATAGGTTTAAACTCATATAGGCATATTCTGTAGCTATATAATGCTTTAGTCTGATATATTCTAGAAACGAATAAAGAGTGAACATAAATTTAGAAACATTTTGGAAAATTTAAATAGGCCTATGGGTTAATCTTGTTGATTTAAGCTACGAGTTTCATTTCAGCCACACATACGTACATACATACATACACACACACACACAGAGTATCACATTATAACATCCCCGTGCCCATGACGAGCTAAAACGCACCAGCTGACCACATCCTCTGGGCGTGTTGCTCAGGTCCGACACTAATGTAGCAGTAAACATTTCCTATTCATCATTGTCATTAAATGAATAAAATTTTCACTCATGCAATGTTTCTATTTGTTTTATTCCTGTTTATTCATGTATTTCTCTCTCTCTCTCTCTCTCTCTCTCTCTCTCTCTCTCTCTCTCTCTCACACGTAAATATTTGTTTACGAGACCGATATCGTCCTTACCTATTTACCACGCAAGGACAAAAGAAGGATGAATATAAAATTTGGTTATAGCTGTGTTGGCGCATTACTCATACTTCTGGTAGCGTTGTATACAATGAAACATCTTTGAAAAAAAATTTTCACGAGGAAAAAGACATTGTAGGTTAGTCAGGATAGGCGGATATTCTAATTCAAGATATTAGTAAAAATTATACACGGCCTCCATAAACTTTTCACTTCAGCTTATATCTCAGGTTTTCCTCCACATCACCCCTCCCTTATCCTCATCCCTAAACAGATCTACGTTGTTCCTAGATGTCCATCCATACCACCATATCACTTCCTCCTTCCATGGCTATCTTCGCTCCTCCTGACTATCCATACCTCTTGTATGTAATTATGTACATGAGGTACTAGGAATCTATAGTTAAGTTTGAAATTGTCCCTTACATATTATGTTTTGATTTAAAATATTTTGTTGGACAAATGTATTTTGAATTCTTTGTATTTATACTTTTGTCAATAAACTACTAACTAACTATCTACCAGTCACACCACTGCCCTCCTCAACATCCACTCCCACACACTCCCTGCCACCACCCATCCATCCATAATTCTAGCCTCAACACACACAAATACAGCGACATAAAGACGTAAACAAACAAACAAAAAACCCACGCCACGACTGATACCTCCCATCACCTTCCTATCATCAAGACGTTGCGAGGAATAATAAACAAAAATAACTTACTGTTATGTTTTTCCCTCACATTAACATTCAAACAAATCACTGAACTTTCCAACTCCCGCCCACGCGGACAAACTTATCTTCTAATTCACGAAGGTTTGTACAAAAGACTTCCATCTTAACCGGAAGTGAGAGCGAATCTCGTCCACTTAAAGTACTCCGTTTAATTCTCACACTAATCAGACGAACAAAAATGTATCTTAGTTCTTCACCTAAGGTACGACACAATGGTAAGTTCTCAATGGTTAGTACATTATATCTTCCCCTGAACTGGTGATGTATCTAATTGGCTTAAATTACGACACAGTGGAGGATTTTCAAAAGTTCTTAAGAAAATATATTTTTTTTCCTATTGGGGGAAAGAAAGAGTCGCAGTGTAATGTCGTGACCATTTTGGACGCTATCTTTACACTAAAGCTGATATGACAGATGCGTTCTCGTATCTTCATTTAAGGGAAAAGTTTAAGGTATGAAGCTTTCAAGTTGATGTTAATAATACGGGCAACTAACATTCATGCTCACCTAATAAGCATATAACGGTAAGGTCCCTGAGTAAATAGGCCGCCATTTTTAGCTGATACGTTTGCGGCGAAGTTTAAAGGAGACACTTAACACTTTTACACATCTACAGTTGAGAAGTAATTCAGCGTAACGAAGGTGTCACATTCTCCCACCTCCCACACATCCCTCACCCACAACCCCCCCACCACCACCACATGACGAACAATTACCCTCTTACGTCTGGTCAGCAAATCATCATTGAGCAAAGACTTACGGAGCCTCGTTAACTTATATAATAAAACTCGAGACGACAAAAAATGGATAAACACTGTCATTATACTCCTAAACCAGTACATGTATAGTGAATTATACAGTACAGGAGTTGAAACATGACCTGAAGACCTGTACCATCTGACACCATTCAACACCGTCTAACACTATCCAACACCGTCTAACACTATCCAACACCGTCTAACACTATCCAACATACCACACCAAATGAAACACTGGACACCACCCAGCACTACCTGACACCACCCAACACTAGCCTGACACCACCCTTCACCATCTGACACCACCTGGCACTACCTGACACCACCCAAACACTACCTGACACCACCTCACCATCTGACACCACCCAACACTATCTTGACACCCACCCTTCACCAACTGACACCTCCACCCAGCACCATCTGACACCACCCGCCACCACCGACACCACCTTCACCAACTGGACACCCCACCCAGCACACCTGACACCTCTCACCCAGCACTACCTGACACCCCACCCAACACCACCTGACACCACCCTTCACCATCTGACACACCTCACCCAGCACCATCTGACACCACCCAACACTACCTGACACCACCCTTCACCATCTGACACCACCCAACACTACCTGACACCACCCAGCACCATCTGACACCACCCAACACTACCTGACACCACCCAGCACCATCTGACACCACCCAACACTACCTGACACCACCCAACACTACCTGACACCACCCTTCACCAACTGACACCACCCTGCACCATCTGACACCGCTCGACACTGCCTAACACCATCCAACACTGCCTAACACTTCCTACCTAGTATTGTACACCTTGTAAGCACTCACGGCGCGGTAATTCTAACAACTCGACACATTAAAAATATTTACTTGAAGCTCATACCCTTGTTAGGTTCTCTTCCTGTCATTCCTCTACGTTCATATTATTATTTTCCGTTACGATGACCAATGTCTTAGTTAACTGTTGTGTCGGTTTGATGTATTTACGTATTGTATCCAAACATTGAATTCACAGTTTACGTTTGTACAGGTATTTATTTTGTGTATTTGTGTTATTAATACAGTACAATTCTTACGTAAGATTTTGTCATTTACAAAACGCTTCACCTCACATTCCATAATCCTTTGAAAGATTGTGCACGCATGTGAGTGTACTTGGTCTATCGTAAACGAGAGTGAAGTGTTTGGCGCGGCAACTTACCTTGATGGGTAATGGAGCGTTGATGTGATGGTAGTCCGCCGCCTGAGAAGTCTAGTGTAGCCTTCGATCTTACTACCTCCTGTGAGTCGTGTCAGGGGAGCTGTAACTCGGTGGCTCTTCCCCTCCGGACCTCAAACCTGGTGACGGTGATCTGCTCTAACTGCTACATGCTACACGGGGTAGGCAACCCAGCAGAGTTCTCAATGAAATTTCTCCCCGCCAACCAGAGGCGCCACTAGCCCAGAGATCGTCTCTGATTGGCCAGCGTGGCGTTACATGAGGCGCCCACTCTATGACGTCAAAGTAGGCGGAGTTTACGTTGGCGGGGAGTTGAAACACGCATGTGTGGGTTTCTAGGAATTCGTTTTAATATACTAATGTAGTCTGGATAAAATTTGAATGTGAGAATATATGTACTCATTACCATACAAGATATTATATAAAACTTTTGTTTGTTATATGTATCAGTTAATGTGAATGGAATGTTCACCGAGCTTCTCATTGATTTGTGGTGCTAGAAATTCAGAATGCCTAGTCACGTAAGATTATATACTGTATTCATATTAAGCAATTTCTTCGTCAATAGTTATAGTATATGTTATATATTGCTGTAGCTTTTTCGTTAAAAATTCGGTTGGACAACTTGACAACTTCTTTCATAATTTGTTTTTATCTTCCTGATTGAAGTGTTTTAATTTAACGTGTTTCTTCAATAATGTCTTAATTTATGAGTTGCTGAAGAGTTGTATATATATATATATATATATATATATATATATATATATATATATATATATATATATATATATATATATATATATATATATATATATATATATATATATATATATATATATATATATATATATATATATATATATATATATATATATATTGATAAAATCACACAGGGAAAGAGAAACAATGGAGAACTTTAGCTTTCGTCTTTATTCAAGACATCTTCAGAGGTAACTTAATTACAAAGACTGATAGAGAGCTTATGTACACAGGGTGACCTGACTAACCATAAGGTCAGTTCAAAAAACATGACATCCACTAATCCAGACACCAACTACACAGCAAACATAAGAAGAACTTATAAGAAAGGGCGACATAACTAGTCATGTCAAATCAGGTAAAAAATATGAGAACCACTAATCATCTATCCTACATCTACCTTACATGCTTTCAAAGCATTTTTAACCTTGGGCCACTGACAAATAAATTTGCGTAACATATTATCAGTTTTGTACTGACCATCACTAAGGTTTAAAGAATGCAATTCTCTAATGTAGGATAGATGATTAGTGGGTCCCATATTTTTTACCTGACTTAGCATGACTAGTTACGTCGCCCTTTCTTTTAAGCTCCTTTAGTGTTTGTGGTGGTGTTGGTTTGCGGATTAGTGGATGTCATGTTTATGACCTGACCTCCTGTTTAGTAAGGTCACCCTGTGTACTTAAGCTTCTCTCGTCTTGAATAAAGACGAAAGCTAAGGTGCTCCTTTGTTTCCTTTTTCCCTGTGTGATTTTATCAAGATTTATCCTATCCACGCTTTTCATTGTGGATCTACATGATATATATATATATGGAACTTACACGTCTCTCTTACGCTGTGTCCTTAATCTGTCAACAACATCCTCATCTTCGCCCCATCTACCGTAACTACAAGAAGAGTTTGCTGAAGGCTCATAGTCTCAAAAACAAGTTGAAGTTTTTGAAAGATTGCAGAGATGATAAAATTGTTCCCAAGTCCTGTCTTCCAAGTAGACTACGAAATCTGGACAATCAAGCATTCTCTGAGTTGGATAAGGTGTTGCTAGATTCCCTTATCAAGAGTTCAAGTGATAGTGTGAAATTAGCCTTCAAACACAGTGTTCAGTGTAAAATACTTATGCAAAACAGTGTTTGTGTTGATAAGTGGCACATCATTCGTGATTTTGTATATCAACTTCTTAGTGAAACTGACAAAGCCCAAAAAAGAAGGTTAAATGCCAAATTTAATGCTCTGTTTGACGAGAGTTACTGGACCACATTGAGTGATCCAAATTTGTTCATAAACTTATCATCTTATGATCTACAGACAAATGAGAAACTTGTTCTTGGTTTTGGTAGGAAGTTTTCTATCACTCAACGGTGTGTTAATCCGCTTACTATTGCTAAAGGTATAATCAACCTGGAAAAGAATAAGTCGTCAGATGTTACAAATGAAGATATTTCCATAGCTAAAGGCTGTATACATAGTGTTTTAAATAGGAAATTTGTTTCAAACATTCCAAAAAGATTTGAAACAGCCTTGATAAACTTGAAAAGAAATAAGAGTATCCATATTACCAAGGCTGATAAGTCTAATGCTATTGTTATTTTGGATAAAAGTGACTACAATGATAAGATGAATTCATTAGTTAGTGATGAAAGCACGTATTGTGAGCTTACGAAAGATCCCCTGGAAAATATTAATAATTTATCTAATTCCAAAATGAAGATGTTATTGAAAAAGAACCCCGATCTCATCAAACAGCTCTCTCAAATCAATCCCACTTTACCTTATATGTATGGATTGATCAAAACACACAAGCTTAACAATCCATTGCGTCCTATCGTGAGTGCTGTGGGTTCTGTTACTTACAAATTATCCAAGTGGCTGGTAAAGATGCTATCCCCTCTTACAGGCCAAATATCTAATTCACATATACACAATAGCAGTGATTTAATTGATAAACTCAAGAAACACAATGAACCTTGCGAATTAATAAGTTTTGATGTAAATTCACTGTTCACTAGAGTACCTGTGAAAGACTTACTTTCATTTCTTAAAGATAAATTACAACTGTTAGATTTAACTATTGAACATGATACTTTCCTGAAATTGATAGAGTTATGCGTAACTGACAATGTGTTTAGAGCAAATGGGAAGTTCTACAAGCAAATATTTGGCATGGGCAATTGTCTTTCTGCTCCTCTAGCCTGTATTTATATGGAGTTTTTTGAGTCTAGATTGCTACCCAATATAGTGGACTTTATTCCTCCATGGTATAGATATGTAGATGATGTTCTTTGTCTTTGGCCTAGAAACAGTGACCCATTGGAATTTCTAGACAAGCTTAATAATATTGTCCCAAGTATCACATTCAAAATTGAAAGAGAAATAAATGGATCCCTTCCATTCCTTGATATGCTTATCATGAGAAATGGCCAAAACTATAAATTTAAGGTATATAGAAAGCCCACACAGGTAGACAGTTTCATTCACTTTTTATCGAATCACCTTGAATCTACCAAAAAGTTTTTCTGTTATGTTCTTAAGATGTCTGCGTATTTGTGACCCTGAATTTATTGACGATGAATTGAACACATTCGTTCCATTGCACAGAAACTCGGGTACCCTTCTGTGTTTGTTGATCGTTGTTTTAAAAGGGCTAAAAAATCCTTTCATTCCTCTCAAACAAGACAAGTTCCTACACTTAAGAATATTTTGACTGCCCTATCGTAATGAATTTGTCCCGTTAGTTCGGTCCCTCAAGCTTCTAAATATTAATGTTGTTTTCAAGTATGACTCAACCATTACCAATATGTTAATAAGGAATAGCCCAAGTTTGAATGTAAATGGAAGTGTTTATTGTATTCCATGTAGCAAATGTAATTGTAATTATGTAGGACAGACAGGAAAAACACTGCAGCTCCGAATCAAACAATATAAGTATAATATCAGAACAGCATCTGAAAGCAGTGCCTTGTTCGTTCATGTTAGGAATAATAATCACCCCATTGCTTGGGAAAAAAGCTTTGAAGTATTTAAATCATCTTGTGTCACAGAAAGACTTCTGGTTGAAGCTAGTTTGATTAAGGAATTAAAATCAATAAACCTTAGTGATGGTCAGTTCAAGGTTAAAAATGCTTTGAAAACCTTTGATTTAGATGTAAGATAGTTGTTTTGTGGGTCCCTTATTTTTTACCTGACCTGACTAGTCACGTCACGTCACCCCCCTTCTCTTAAGCTCCTCTACGTGTGTGTTGGTGTGTGGATTAGTGGATGACATCATTATGACCTGAACTCATGTTTTTAAGGTCACCCTGTATATTTAAGCCTCTCTCTGTCCATGTAATCCAGTTGCCTCTGAAGATGTCTTGAATAAAGACAAAAGCTAAGGTGCTCCGTTGTTTCCATTTTCCCGTGTGATTTATATATATATATCTATATATATATATTTCTACATATATATATATATATATATATATATATATATATATATATATATATATATATATATATATATATATATATATATATATATATATATATATATATATATATAAAGAGAGAGAGAGAGAGAGAGAGAGCAAGAACAAAGCAGGGAACTCCCATAGTAGGGATATGACACACTTGTAGTTTACTCTAGAAATCACCCGAGGAAAGAAAGACTGGGACCTAGATCACACATAAGAACATAAGAATGGAGGAAACTGCAGCGGGCCTATTGGCCCATACTGGGCAGTCCCGTTTACACCCAACCCCTATTGCTCATATAAGCATCCAACCTGTTTGAAGCTATTCAGCGTATTCGAGTTAATGATGATATTTGGTAACTTGTTCCATTCATCCACTACTCTGTTTCCAAACCAGTGTTTACCTATTTCGCGCCTAAATCTAAATTTGTCTAATTTGAAACCATTGCTACGAGTTCGCTCCAGGTTGGATAGTTTGAGTACCTTTGTAATGACCCCTTTGCTTAGCCCTGACTTGCATTTATACACCTCTATCAGGTCGCCCCTCGCTCTACGTCTCTCGAGGGAGGGCAAATTATGATGCTTTAACCTGTCTCTATACTCAAGGTTCCTAATGCCCGGGATTAGTATTGTCATTCTCCTCTGAATTCTTTCCAAGGATTCTATATCCATTAGCCTTGTTATGAGTCAAAACACATTGTTTACTTGGCTTAAGGTTCCTACTTATCATTACTCCTAAATCTCTCTCGCAGTCGGATTTCTCTATGGCATTATTGTTCATCTGGTATCTGGTTTCCCTATTTACATCTCCTATACTGAGTACTTTACATTTGTCCAAGATGAATTTCATCTGCCATTTTTCAGACCATTCGAAAAATTTGTTTAGATCTTCCTGTAGTTTTGCGGGGTCCTCTTCAGATTTAATAACACGTCCTATTTTAGTGTCATCAGCAAATT